TTTCCTAATTTTCTTTTACTTCAAAGCCAACTTCAAAAACATTTTAGCATATTCTCAATTTGAATCAAATCCACACCACTCAAAGAAACAAATGCACCGGCATGTATGCGCAAACATGTTGCTAAACCTTATGATGAATTTTAATTAAATAAAAAAAATTAATTTTCCTATATTTCATGAGCACAAAAATTCACAAATAAATTATTTTAACTCTATTATCAAAAGTGACAAATTTTGGGGTGTTACACGGTTTCCTTCGGCCTCTGCCTTCTCCCAATCAAGCCGCGGGCATCGCCACAAGCGAATATGGATTACGGAGGCGCCGGGACAACGCTACGGTTCGCAACGGAGACAAGGATGGGAGGATGGTGGGTACGCAGGTGGGTACGTTCGTCGTAGGTGAAAAAAATGCCGACCAAGGCGTGGTTGATACGGGAGATGAGGCGAAACACGCTGTCACACAAGCATCGTCCCTCTCCGCGGTCCACCCGTCACTTGTATCTTAACCGTTGGATGGAAAATCAAGACACATCCAACGGAGGAGATCTTGGGTGGGTAGGAGATTTTTGTAATTCATTCGCTCATTTATAGTATAGATAGATAGATACGGATTCCTAGATATGGGCGCTGGGGTGGGCGGTGGGTGGATAACGAAGTGAATACAACTTTCTTTTTTCTCCAGACTTGTTTGAAACCAACCTTCAAGTCAATTTCAACGAGCCAAGCCAAAAATAAGTGCAATTGAAGCAATTTTAAAACGAGCCACAAGCATGCTCAAAGAGCTTTTTGTCTAGCCCTACTGGTTAAAGACCGCCTAGGCAGTGTATAATCCCCTCCCCTGCACAAGCCCATCGCAATCCGCCCCACTGCTCATTTCTATTGCGGCGAGGGCATCACCGCCGGTTTTGGGGGTCAGCAGTGGTAAGTCGGTGGTGATGGGACCCCCCCTCCCCCCCAAAAAAAGCCCTCATCACCGACGGTTTTGAACCGGCGGTGATACTCCCCTCTCCCTCTCCCTCCCCCCCACCATCACCGTAATTGTTTCATGGGCGGTGATGGGCCACCTATTCAACAAGGTAGGAATTAAATAAGTGGGTAGAAAACAACCTTCGAGTCAGTTGATGATGTGGAACCTTCAAATTTGGGCCTCTCCTTGATCAATTGGGTGAAAAGAACCTCTAAAATGAAAGAAAGAGCCTTTCCATCAAATTGATCAACCCAAAAATAAAATTTAGCCAATAAAATAAGTTGGAAATTGAATGGGTTGATAGTTACCAACCTTAGAATAAGGGAGTGATAGGCATTTTTCAAAAAAAAAATGGGAGCCTTCATGTGCAATTGGGTGAAAAACAGCGGTAGTAATGGTGAAAAAATGGTATAATTTTGGGTAGAAAATGAGAAGGGCGCAGAGAAGAAGAGGGGAGTATATATAGCCTCTACCCCCCTCACCGCCGATTCTAATCTTCAACTAGTTGTGAAAATCCCCCTTCGCCGCCGGTTCAAGCTACAAATTGTTAATGAAGGGGGGAGGGCATCACCGCCGGTGAGCCCATCTCGTAATGGGTACACGCGGGGTGGCCCGGTCCTGATGTCGCACGCGCACGGGAAGCCTTTGTCATCGGCGGTGAGGCCGATGACCGAGCCGAGCTCCGGGACGTGGAGCCCGTGGCCCTGGAATGGCACCTGCCACGTCCCCTCCGCTCGCCACGTCAAAGTGCCATGCTCGTCGGTGGCGTCCAGGGGAAGCTTGTTTCATTGTTGCTGAAGCTAGCCACAGTAACTCTGTCATGTATCCTATTAGCTTCAGTGAAAACAGGGCAACGATGTGTTGCTCTGCATCCTACAGTCTTCTTGTTGACGATTGCTTACCGTCGTGTTGCTGCTGTGTGTGCCTATCCATCTCACACCGCTTTTAGCTGCGGCGTGCTCCGGCTCAACAGGCTCTCCTTCGCCATCTGGTCGGTCACTGGTCGCTGCTCTTCATCTCCGGATTGACTGCATGAGTTAAGTTTATTTTTTTCGTCAGATGTTGTGCCGCAATTGACAACATTAGTCAGACCAGGAATTAGCTAAGGATCGATGAAATCACAGTTCCATGCCGTCAAACAAACATCAGCAAGGTGGCAACGTGCCGACAATACCCTGAACAACTACTTGAAGGCTGTGCTGTACAGCATGAACAGCCACATTTTCAGTTCTTGTCAGACGCCAAGTTTCTTGATAAATGGCAGTGCTAAATAAATATGTTGAAAAGGCACTAGTGATGTAAGGAGTAGCAATGGGCGATCGAAATCATTATTCGGATTAGAAGCTATATCAGTTCTGCTTTTCGTTGGACTAGAAATTTTTGCAATGAACAGATGAAATCCTTATTTGCTCTGAAAAAAAAGTTACAATGGCACAGTGCTGCCAGTATCCTAAATCCTGCACAAGCTACTGTTCCATTTGTAGCTACAGCATGAACACCACATTTTCAGTTTCTTGTCAGACACTGTATCTTGAGAAATTTTGTCAGGATTGTGTTGAATTGGCGTTGCTCCAGCACATCTTTACAATGTTTCTGGCCCTGCTCATAAATACAAACAGTCAATGCCATGTATGTACTCGACCCTTTAGATACGACAATGGCAGTGTTCGCTGGTCTGAACTGAAAAGTTCAGCCGGCTGGTTCTCCTCCCATTCCGCTGTTCATCAAACCAGCCAACAGTGTTTCTTTCTCACAACAATTCAGTCGGAACAGTGTTTTTCAGCCAAGTTTCAGACCAGCGAACGGGGCCATTAACGAATCTGCAGGAAAATCGGACTGGGGGGAAGAAAAGGAAAAAAAAAACAAGAGGAAAATTGCCGGAGTACATACACTTCCAGCCACCTCTACTTCCCATTTGATCATAACAATGCGCTGATGTTACCTTGGTTTGCTAACTTTTTCACGCCTTGGCATTCTACGGTTGTATAATACAAATATTAAAAATTACATAAAACCCTAAGTAATGATGATTCTTAGGTTGAAAAATCCGACTAATATATAGCGAATCGATGCGAAAAAAATTAGGAGGGGAGTAAGGATACCTTGCTCTCGAAGATCTACGGATCAAATCAAAGTTTTAAAGGTCCAATATGCTAATTCGTGAGGTAGCGCGAAGTGGGGAGAGCAAAAACCCGAGAGGGAGGAGAAAGAAGAAGAAGAAGCCTCAGCTAGGAAGGTTGGGTGGCGGGTTAAAACACCACCTCGACGTCATAGATCTTGGCGCCAATAACCCCGGCGCTAAGCTTGGCGCCAATGACACCGGCGCCGAGGTGGCTGCCATGTGACTGGCACGTCTGCGTCGATGCCGACGTGGCCGAGGAAGCTCGACGCCAATTACTATGACACCGAGACGTGTAATCTTGGCACCAACTAATATGGCGCTGAGCTGATGGTCCAGATTTTGAAAGCTTACCTCCAAAGGCATATTTGTGACCAACTTTAAAAATAAAAGAAAAAAAAATTCGGCCTGACCGGCGACCTGGCAAGGAACCCGCCTCCCTTTCCCCTGACGCTGCCCCATACTTAGATCTGGTACTTGGGCCGTGTCATTTGAGGACGGGTCATGGCACGGTCTTTAGGCACGACCCTGGCTGCCCGTCGAGCTTCAGGGGCGCTGCCTCAACTGCTTATCCCAGGCTCACCGTGTCGCCACCTGTAGGCTACCGCGGTGGGGGCGGCCGGAGGGCCGCCCGGGTGCTCGAAGGGTCGTCGAGGGCCGGGCTTCTTCACCTTCGCCTACGGCCACGCATGGGGAATCATCTGCTGCTGGCACCGACGGCACCGTCATCGCGCCGCCAGGGGTGAGTCCAAGGATGCCCTGGTGCGCCTTCCAGCGCGGCACGGCGATCCTGGAGCCGCAAAGATCCTGGAGCCTTCTTGCTGGGTGCAAGACGAAGCAGCAGCGGCCGGCGATGTCCAGGCTGCCACAAACGATCCCAAAGCGGCTGGGACCGGCGCTGCTCGCAAGGCGGCGATCCACCGGACCACCACGGCCCAGTCGCGACGTCAGTCAAAAAGCAGGGCGCAGGAACCGGGAAGAAGATAGCCGTTTGGCGACCGCGCGAATCGCGTTCTCACGCTGAAGTGACGGGCCCACGGCAAGGCGACAAAGTCGACCCAGCTAGGGAGACGGACGCAACCCCGGAATTCAAGGCAGTGCCTGCGGCGGCCGCCGTGCACGGCCGGTGGACGAGGCCGAGCGCGAGGACAAAGATCGACGACCGCGGATGACCCGCCTGCTGACACTTGGTCCACCCCTTGCAGCACGCAGGTGTTAAATCTGCATCAGTTACGTCAGTTGATCATCAGTTCATCTAAAAACGGAAAGGGACACAAGCTAAGGAGGGAGAGTTACGTCAGCTGATCATCTTCTGACGATACAGCCAGCGTTGATGCTTCAAATGGACTGTATTCGAAGATGTAATTGCTTTCTTGCGGTGTTCAAAAGGTGCCACCAAGGGGTTACTGAAAGACCTCGCTCTCTCTCTGGTGGAATGCAGGGGTGGATGAGAGAGTGGACTTGAAGAGGGGGAAGGGCGTGGCAGAGGAACGCTGGATATATATGGAGGAGGATGCATCAACTGAACTTATGGAATCACGGCTTCCAGCAGGCACTACTAGTGCCGCTACTAGCGTACTAGGACCGTAGCACCACAAAATAAAACGCTGACGACAAACTGAGCACGGCGGATTCTTTGCAGAGCAGGCGAAAAGGGCATTTAGGTTTTTAGTTTTATTCTTCGCTGACCGCCCATCCACCCTCACAGCGAGTTTTAATCAAAGAATACAAAACGCAAACGGCCTATGGCCCAACATTTACATCCTTGCAGCACATAGGCTGACTTACAGGCCCTACAAGATCATAGCGCGGCGCATTCGTGACACACAGTTTGTTAGTTTCCCTACCAGATCGATCTACCCTACCGCCTCGGGTAAACGAAAAGGAACTGGATCGCAAGGCATCTCAGCTCACCTATAAGGTGCATAGCTCGTTGAAGATAGTGAATGAACAGTGACCACTCAGCTGCACCGGAGTGTCCCCCTGCTGCGCGGCCACCCGCGGCACGAAGCCTCGGGGCATCGCGGCGGCTGGCAGAGGCGCCGGTGGCACCGTGCTGGGGTCGGCGGGGCCCGGTGGGACGGCATGTTCTAGCCCGTGCGCCGACGGGTTCCGGTGGTACCGCAGCAGCTGGAAGGCCTGCACTTGGGGCGTTTGGTCGGTGGAGTTGTAGAAGCTGCCGCGGTAGAAGGCCGCCAGGTGGCTGCGGGAGGGGATGGGCATCATCGAATGCACAAGAATCAGTCAGTGATCACAGTGCGCACTGCATTGCCTTTACAATTAGCAAAAGGGGAAATTGAAACTGACCGGAGACTAACTTACATGTTATTGTTGACCGCGGCGTGCCACTGACCATTTACTTGCAACATGCCCAGCACCGCCCAGTAGCCGTTCAGGTTCGTACACGTACACCACCACGTTAACTAGGTGGTCATGAAGCCTTAGAAGGAGATCAGGTCGGTTCACGAGCGGTACTAGAGATGAGTGATCTCTGATGGCGTCCCACATCCGGAACCCCTCATTCTCCATCATATATAAGAGGCCCTGCTCCACCTCAATCACGGGCGCTGGCCGCTGGTTTTGGAACAGCCAGCTTCGGATGCATGATGCCATCCAGCGCAGGTTCAGGTCCATGTGGGCTGCCCACTGATGCAGATCGAAGAAGCGAGCTGTTTCCTGGTACCCCTGCGCGCTGACCACCACCATCCCAGTCCCCTGTTCTGCCAGGAAGGTGCCTGCATTGCATTGCATTGCAAGATAATGACACTGCGCATCTGTACAAGACCGATCGATGCTACGGTGACTCACACCCATCTCATCTGATGAAGCTAAGCTCTGAACAACACAGATACAAACAAGAGATAGAAAACAAAGAGAGAGAAGCGCTGCCTGCCTGCGTGCATAGCGCTGAAGGCTGACCACGAACTGAAGACCCCGCCGGCTGCTTCCAACATGTTGTGAATGGTCCTCTGCGCAGGCAGGGACAGCACGGCCTGCAACGGAGGGGGCCCAACCTGTGCTGCTGCTGCTCCTCTGTTGCCTCCGCCGGAGCCGAGTCGCCCGCCGTTCCTTTTGCCGCCGCCGCGATCCTAGTCACCACCCTTGTGCGCCTGACGCCGCCGCAGCCGAGTCGCCCGCCGTTCCTTTTGCCTCCGCCGCGATCCTAGTCGCCGCCCTTGTGCGCCTTCCGCCGCCGCGATCCTAGTCGCCGCCCTTGTGCGTCTGACGCCGCCGGCGCCGATCCCACCCGATCTTTTCCTGCCCTGCACACACCGAAAACACCCGCGAATCGAAAAGAATCCAAGCTTCTTGCTTACCTGGCGTGCGTCACGCGGCCGCCCGCCACTGCCTCACCGGAGGGAAAGCTCAAACCCGCACCGCTTCGTGCTGCATTGCAGAAACAAGAAATAAACAAAATCAAGAACAGAGCAGGCAGACGCAGCGGTGGTTCAGAAACAGGTAGAGGATCGATCGCGAAAGACAAGGATGGCAAGGATAAAGAAATAAAGGGTATTGGAAAAGTCTCCTCGGACTCCGGCGAGACAACAAAGAACTCCGGCCAAGATCGCAAGAATTCCGGCGAGACAGGACTCCGGCGAACCAAGAAAGGACTCCGAGAAAAGAGGGAAGAAGAAGAAAAAGAAGAACACATCGGCGCGGACGAGACCCGAGGGCATCTGCGAGCCATGAAAGGACGAGACAAAGGTCGCAAAAACTCCGGCGAGACAAGAAAGCACCCCGGCTAGCCAAGAAAACAGGGCAGAGGACGAAGAAGAAGAACCAACGACAACATACAGAATATGGGTGCTGGCGCCCGCCGATTCCCTCGGGTCTCCTCCACGCCAGGCTCAGCTTCTTCTTGCCCGCCGGCCTGAGCTCCTTGCACGACGCTCGCCGCCTGCTGCTTCGTCAGAGTTGATCGGCATTGGCTCTGTCTGTATATTTAAGTGGGGTGTGTGGGCTGCGAATAGCTTGGTAATGGGCCGGTCCGAAAGGTCAATATGGGCTATGGCCTAAGGGTTGGACTCGTACATGTGGCGCACTTAGCTGTTTTGGTCTGAAGGGGTTCGAACCCTGGCCACCAAAGGTTGGGAAAATCTGCTAAAAAAAACAAGGTTGGGAAACAAATTGCTTACCACCACACTACAGCCTCTTTGGCACGGCTTATTCAAAACGGCTTTATCGGTGAAGCCAAAGCCGGTGAAGCCAAAAAAACTGGTTTTTTTTTTTTTTTTTTTTTGTTCATTTTTTAATCCCGAACTTACAAAAAAATGCCTTCACACGCTATAATTGTCTTGATTTACGCAAAATAGATGAAGCCGACATAAGCCGTACAAAAGAGGCCCTACGAGCTCAGGTGCTATTTATATCTGTTCTAGACCCGAGAGCCCAAGGGCAAGGAGCAGCGGAATCACGGAAGAAAGTCTTGGACTTAGGCCTCACGGTGACTTTTTAGGTTTGTGTGTTCACGGAGACGGGGGTTAGAATAATATAATAAAGGTTACACATGTAGTGGTGACATGGACGGCTAAAGGGCCATGGGCCAAAACAGGAAATCATGTTTCCGTGCGGCCATACCAGTACATTTAAACTAGTGGGCCCCCAGCGCTTTGCCGCGGGCGCTAGGAAGGATTGAAATTGGAATTGATAGTATGTTATTTGTATATACTCCTGTATTTATCGTATTTGTTGATTAACATATAGAAATATAATAGTAACCTAAAAGTGTACATGTTCTGAACATATAGACAACATTGGAACTTTAGTGAGTTTTGAGAGAGACAATGCGTTGCAACTTGATGTACTGATTGTTCTTCAGGCTTCACTGATAGCGGAGGCCACAACACTTCCATTTTATACAGGAACAGTCTCGAAGCATAAACTCAGAAAGATCAGTCCACGATGGCATATACATAAAATCAAATACAATTATATAGTGAGGAATGGAAAATTTGAGATATCATCTAGGAGCTAATTGTCCCATCATGTTCCTGTAGAATTGGATTAGGATAACTAATTGCAAAGTGTTTGGACAATAGATCATAAGAATAAAGGAAATGGTGAACTCAAATATTACATGGACTTCGCTAGAACTAAAAATACTTATAAAAAAAAAAGAAATCACCTAGAAATCTGCAAAGAATAAATAAGGCAAACAAATTAAACGATTGTTGTAAAGAGAACATGAAGAAGCCAAAAAACAAACATCAATAAATTTTCGAGTATTCACTAATTGACCTCTAGAAATTTGAGGTTACCTACCTGCCAAAGCGATCCTTGTACAGTTGTACTCATGGGTTTTAAGCAACCAACAAATATGGAAAAAGGGAGCAAATCAAAATTATTTATATCAACTTGTGGAGACTGAAAGCGGGCCACAAAAATGAAACTGGTTTCCAGTACCATTTTTTCTTGATCAACTGGAAATGAAGAGTAAAATTGATTGAAATGGAGGCCATGAACATAAGAAGGCATGCGTCAGTGGGCAACCACGAACATATATAAGCCCAGTATCCTAAAGTAAAGACGATCACGCCTTATCAAATCGAAACATGTGGAGATGTCTGGGTTTTATGTATCTGACGTTGCAACTTGCTCGAAACATTCTCAATTTTTTACCACAGCCTACACATGCGATAACATGACACCTCGACAAGTTTTGTGATTTTCGGACTTCGTATGGACTTTATATAATTTTAAAACACTTTTCCGGCAAATGGCTCGTCATGTTACGTGAAGAAGATGCGCGAAATTTGATGCGAGTTCGTGGATAGAGACTCAACATACACCAAATACCATGAATAACATTTTTCGAAGCACTAGATTACAATATTCCATGCACTTGTAGTTCAAATTTGAATTATATATAAAAAATCAACATAATCAAATTAATCAACCAAATATAACAAAAAAACTTGAAAAAGCACCAAATTTGAACATGAAGTTGTAAACAATGTAGGCGGGCCCAACAAAAAATTTGGGGTCAAAAAAACAAAAAAAAATTAAAAATTTGCCGAGTGCCAGCACTCGGCAAAGATTTTTTTAAAAGAAAATTTTCAAAAACGGTTAAAAAGTCTTTGACGAGGGCCTAACGGTAATGCCCTCGGCAAAGTTTGACGGTAGGGGATGGACATCGTGTCAGGCGGTGTTGCCGAGGGCCGGCTCTTTGCCGAGGGCTTAGCCCTCGGCAAATAATTATTTTTGCCGTGTGCTTGTCTTTGCCGAGGGCTGTTCTTTGCCGAGGGTCAGGCCCTCGACAAAGACTCTTTGCCGAGTGCCCGAGCATTTGTCCTTGGCAAATCCTCAAGCCCTCGGCAAAGATGCTATGTCCGGTAGTGAAGGGAGCAAATCAAAGTTATTTATATCAACTTGTGGAGACTGAAAGCGGGCCACAAAAATGAAACTGGTTTCCAGTACCATTTTTTCTTGATCAACTGGAAATAAAGAGTAAAATTGATTGAAATGGAGGCCACGAACATAAGAAGGCATGCGTTAGTGGGCAACCACGAACATATATAAGCCCACTATCCTAAAGTAAAGCCGATCACGCCTTATCAAATCGAGTCAGCAAATATATGAAAGAAGGTCCAGGAAATACTAGCAGCAAGTCAGTAACTCAATACCAAACAGGAAAAAAATGGCCTACCCAGTGCAGAGAGCTCTCGCTCTGTGCGGGGTCTGGGGAGTGTTAAGAAATGTGTGAACAAAAGCAAATAGGCTGGAGGCACCTGCTCTAATCCGCATAATGGTATAATCCTACAGGGAGAACCACAGGATGTTTAGTGCTAGCAAACCTTTTCGTATGAAGGCCATAATTAATCGAACTATTCTGTTGAACTGCGATGCTGGAGAAAGTTGGGAAGCTCCTTGTTAATCTGGTAGGATGCTGTCCACCATGGAATCTGGGAAAAAATGATTTGCAGTCAATGTAGTTAATCTTTTTTAGAAAAAAATTGCACTAAGCTATCTATGTCTCACTGGTAAAATAAATGCATGGTACTATATGTAGTGTAACTGTAGGAAACATGGTCTATGGAATATGGTCTGCCAGTGGTGTAAGTTCCAACCTCTTATACCAAGTGTATAATACGGCATGTGATGAATATGTAAAATTGATAATTTTTGTGAAGAGGTTAAAACTTTGCTATAGATTGTGCCGAAAGGAATGTCCAATATAAGCAGCTGAGTCGTAGAGAGTATTAGGCAAAGTAGCAAATTAAAAGTATGACGTGAAGATTCATGTGTGCAGTTTAGTAAAAATGGTGGTTAGGAAGAGGTGTCATGCTTTAGCCTGTATGGCAGTAACCGTGGAAAAAAAATCCATGATACATCTGTAGTTATTATGATTTTCAGTAACTCAATGTGGGCATGGTAAAATAAGTCCATCATTGGATGGTAAAAGCGATAAGTGCAAACCATTGCTGAATTATGAACTTTATTGCTTTCATTAAGGTCGCATTTGTTCATCCTAGGATTACCAGGAACTGGCCTTAATCTGGTGTCCATGTATTCAACCATAGCAGTGTTATGGAATTTTAAGTTCAATGACTGATGTGCAAAGATGACTAATAGCTGTTCTGTTTAACTGATCCTTTGGTAATTAGTTTCAACCATTGGTGCACTGATATAAAACATGGATGTACAGTCTTGTTGTTGCTATTAATGATATATATGGTAAACAACTAAACATACAAGGTCTGTTTCAA